AGTTTAGAGCCATTTATTTCTTAGAGTGAAGTATAGAATTAAACTCAATGCAGAACATTCATGCATTCATATCACTGTTACTCACACCATAACAATACATTCAGCTTCACATACATATCATCATTACATCATTCATTGATTCAGAATAATATATTAAACAACAAACAGATTCAACAGGCTTCCCTACACATCCAAGCCAGGCTCTTGGCACTAAACACACACACACACACAGCCATGCTGTTGTTAAGGCCATCAGAGTATTCAAACTGGCAACAATGAGAGGCAATTGGTCAGCAGGCAAAGAGCTAAATGTTTTGTTTTGTTTTTTGCGCCGGCACCAGTTTTTCTTGGTTGACCTGATTTGTTGCTTTTGTTACATTTTGAAATGGCCCTTCACTCTGCTCATGGCAGGAAATAGTGCTGGTAATCTGGCAACATAGATTTGTTTCCTCCACGTCAGAATGAAGCCGAGGTGATTGCCTTTAGGAAAGCGGATGAGATATCGGAGGATGACCAGAAAGCCTTGCCATCAATCAGCCAATTGCAGTTTCATTTTATATTTTCATGTCATTTAAATTTAACTTATCTTAAAAAGAAACAAGTAGGATCGACGATATTTAATTAAAATATGTCTTATTAAAACTCAATTACACTTGGTAATTGTTCACTCTGTGACAGTAGTCAATATTTTACTGCTTGTTGTTGTCAGGCCATCTATGGCCTGTCAGTAGTGGGAAGTCAACACACAGTACACGATTGTCAGTCATTGATCAAATCCTTTCTTTTATCCATCTCATATTTTCAGATGATAATCCAATTTTTTTATGAGCTTGCTTCAATGATTTTAAATGATTTTTTATTTTTGTTGCTGCCAATTTTTGCTCCTTTAAAAATAAGTCTGGCAATATTCTTTTTTTGTTGTTCATCCCACACAAATCTAAATATATTAAGCACAGAATCTCATACATCGTTTTCCCCCAGCCACAGAGATGGATTGTTGTCCAGATATATCAAAGATTCATCAGTGAGCCACATTGTTGCACTGGACAACATATTCCGTCATCACCGTGAACGCACACCAGTTCCACATATTCTGTCCTGCTGCTGAGTTACTCCATTAAGCACCAAATGTGGATTAATCTGCTGCTGAAAATAGTCCATAATAAATGCACCATTTACTCGTGTTTGAATGAAGTTCAGTTAAAGCTTCACTGGCCCACTGTTTTAGGTCATTACTGACCCCTTTTTTTTAAATAAAACCACAAACGCTTGACCTCTTTTTTTTTAAGATTCTTGTCCTCTGTAAGTACGAGTGGGCTTGGGTGCCTCAGTTCATTTATCTTGTGATTTTTCGCTTCATTGCCATATACTAAAATAATAAAAAAAGATTTTCTAATTGATGCTGGTTTTTACATTGTACAGAAGTGCAGTGAAGATATGTTTGTAGTAAAATAAATAGACCACAGCCGTGTGATTTACAAAATTGTTAGCAGCAAAGTATGAATGAATTTTACTCCTGAACATGCAATGAACCCTGCCGCAGCATATGATGGGTATTCTCAGGTTGTACAGCAGATGTGAGCTCTCTCTACCACTAACACACTCTCATACTTCCATATTCCCTTGAAGCGTTTCTCCCTCTATCACCATCCCCACCCATTTCCTCATGCTCTTTCTTCTGTCCAACACGTCTTTCTGCATGGACGAGCTCATGCTTGCATACAGCGGGCAGGGACAGCTGTCTGCCATGCATAATGTGTCCTCTGAGAGCCCCCTGTGGCAGGTGGTCTACAAACATATGGCACTGAATAGGGATGTGTCGGGCTTTTCCTTGAATGTGCCACCCACATGCAGAATTTGATTAAAATGCAATGAGGTCCTTGTGAAAGGGGGAAGGTGGTTAACTTGGCCTGACAGTCATTATCGTCTTGTTATTGGCTGTCAGGCTGCTGATGCCACACTGAGATACATCCCCTCGATGCCAAAAGGAGTGTCATGAAATATGACTGCGCATGACTGAGCATATGAAAGATTTTCTCCAAGTCTAAGCAGGCAATGCTGCACTATAGGCACCGAATATGTATCCTTATCCTTTTTCATGTTTATATTCTCACATGTAGTTAGTGGCTTTGAGGCAGGGTCACTGTGCTTCATTATACCTGCTCAAATGTTGCAACACGAAAAATATCTTCTCTCTTCAGAAGCAAGGAAACTTGCCGTGTAACATGACCTTGTAATGGCCATCATCCATATCAGGACATTGTCACTGACGCAAACAAACCTCGAAACACAAACTTTCCAATTTGTTTTGATGAATTGTACATTTTCAGGGCAGGTGAGTCCAGACGTCAGAATCACAAAATATATATTTCATGAATATAAATTGTGTTTGGTTATCATCATCCCCTCTCAACCTCTTTTTGGCCTCCTGGAGATTTTTATATTTCCTCACACCCTGAGCACATTTTCTCATATCATGGTGGTTGTATTTGGCCATTTCCCTTACTGGTTATCTTGTTTCCATCAAATTACGTGGAAAAAACTTTATCTCCTAACGGATTTACAATAAAATCATACCGCAACTTAGATGGATGACTGAGGTGCTTCCTGAATTCTTAGATTATGAGAGGTCACAGAAAAGTATCTTCACTGAGGCGTTTATAATGACAAGA